ATTGTGGGACAGGTAATTTATTGCTTTATTTTAATTTCTAGGATTTTCCTATCACTGAAGTTTTTGTTAAGAGAAATTTTGTCCAAAACAATTCGGAACTAAGCAGTACTGAAATTACAGAGGTTCAGAATTATTTATTATCAAAAATATTTGTTGTATAATGGATAATTTATTGTTTTGCTGATTTCTAGGAAAATTATGACACTCAAGTTCTTGTTGAGAGGAAATTGAATCAAAACCCTGAAATAAAAAGTTCTTCTGAAACTATGGTAGTTTTGAGTTATTTCTTATAATCAAATTGTAGAACGGATAATTTATTGATTTATTTAATTCCAGGTTACTCCTATCACTCGCAAGGTTCTTGTTGAGAGTAATTTGAATATAAATTCATCTAAGCCCACTACAGCAAGTTCGAACAATTCACCAGAATTACTAAGCAATCTTTTAAAAAAATTGGGAATTCAAAAAGATGATGAAACTGAAGATACATGGATAAAAATTAATACAAGACTCGAATCAATATTTGGACATTCAAATAAATTAAACATTCAAATTTCTGAAGAAATTAAAACCCAATATTTAAAATTGATTGAATTGCTTCAAAATTCAAAATTCGACCCAGTTCTTGTTGGCAAATAGAAAGACAAAGCATTAAATTCCTTTGGTATTTATCATTAATTACTAAGTTTTAAATGGTTTAAAGGCGAATATTAACTCGATACTTTTATTAAGGAATTGATATCTCTTCTAATAAAAATGATGAAAACGAAAAGAAAATTACGCGTGTTAATTGTGATTATAATTTTAAATTTTTATTTTAATTAGTTTAATTCTTTATTCAAATGTATATATTTTTTTTTTCAGTGTCAAAGGATTGGCTGGACATAATTAATGTCCTATGTAATTCGAAATCTCTTATTAATGGTAAACGTAATACAATTTCAACAGATAATGTTCGTACATTAAATAATTTGGATTTTACAAAGAGAATATTCGATTTTTGCGATAAAGCTGAGTCAATAGAAATTATTCAAAAGGAATTCAAAACATGGACCGATTTAGATAAAATTACAGACAATGTGCAAACAGAAATTAAAGTTTATAAACTCGTTTACTACACAAAACTTCTAAATGGATACGCATCTCTTTTTAGGTTTGTTAACAAAGAACCAAAGGAGGATGATATGAATTACACCTTCAAAGAAAAATTCGAAAAAGGTATTCCTCTTGGGTTGAATGCTAGTATTCCCGCTAAAAAAAAATGGGTGAAGCATCAAGTTAAAAAGTATTTGAATTTACAAGTGGACAAGTCAGAAACCCGCATTTGGAAATCATTGTGTAGAATACTTTTTATTGTGAAAAAAGAGATAACCTCAATTCGAGAGTTAGCAATAGCTGGGGTAATGCCAAGAAAGATTCAAAGCATAACCGATGTAGAATTTAAACTTTTTTTACGTAAAATTTCAAATGGACAAATTGAGAAATTTGTTCCTTACGAAATCGACACAATTGATTCAGACTTATTTGGGGTTGATTTGGAATATAACTTTGTGCAGAAATTTGTTCCTAAAGAAATCGTCACAATTGATTCAGGAATTGAATTAGAATATAACTTTGTGTATGATAAATAAGAATTATTTTTGAAATTTATGTATACAAGTTCACAATAAAGTGGCATTCCCTTAATGAATCGTGAAGGGAAATTTTCATTTAACTGCTTAAGAATTAGTTCTATAGTAAAATTATGTTCATTGTTTTTAATAAAACATTCAAATCAGAATATAAATTAGAATAGCGATAGTAAATGAAGCTTTTAAATATACTGTAAGTTAATTAATGACTTTTAGTATATTTAACTTAGTGGCTGTCAAGGTAACATTGCTCAAAGTTTAAAAAAGGTTTACCGTACGGCGCTGACTACAGTACCCCCTGTTATAATACCCTATATAAAAGACCCAGGTACAATTCATGGGTTCATGATTCAGAAAATTGAAAAAGACCCGGGTATTATTCTAGATAGATATATATATACAGTCGACTCTTTTTATACTGTACTGAAATCGGGTTATAGCGAACCAGATTTAGCAGAACGGATTTTTCTATAATAATTTAAGCTGGTTATACTAAACTAAAATATTAAATTTCTTTATACCGCATCTAAACTCTTTTTTACCAGCCGAAACTATATGTTATAGAGTTTAACGTTGAATAAAGTTTATACTTATTTTTCGGGTTAAAGCGATTTTTAGTCGATCGCCAATAGTCGCTACATAGTAAAGTCCAAATTTTACTATGTAAATCAATTAAAATTGCTTAAGTAAAGTTATTTGGGAGATCAAAATACACTTACTCTAAAATTTTCATCTAAATTGGAAAACTTTTTATTAATTGACTTTTAATTTTTACGTTCAATGAATATGTTTTTTTAAAGAAATTTTAATTTTTTCATTGAGCGTAAAAATAAAAAGTTAATTAATAAAAAGTTCTTCAATTTGGATGAAAGTTTCAGGATAAGTGTATTTTAACCTTCCAAATAACTTTACCTAAGCAATTTTAATCGATTAGAATAGTAAAATTTGGACTTTACTATGTAGTGATTGTTATTGATCGTGGCACATACAGTATTATATGTATTAAAAAAAATTTGTATTATTGATCACGTGCGTATGATTTCATTGGTCCACTATATATACTGAACCATTCGGTATAGAGAGCGAACTGTATAAAGCGAACTCACTCTATACCAAACAAAATCTCCCAGAACATGCAGTTCAGTATAAAGAGAGTCGACTATATTTAGATTATAAAATAATATTAAAACCATGCAAAGTACCCTCCTATTATAATACCCTCCCCCGTAATTAGTACCCGGGTGGGTACTATTCAAGAAATTTGATGGTTTATTGAATAGTACCTGGGGTACTGTAGTCAGCGCCGTACGGTATTTGAATTGAATTTGGACCGTAATTTATTTTTTTTGTAAATGCGTGATACAATAAACATAAATTGTAAATTCGTGATATTATATAAAAATAAATTGTAATGTAAAATTATTCTTTAAATAAATATAATAAGTTAGTATATAGTTCGTATTTTTATTTATGCATGGAAGCCAGCCAACTCCATTAACATTGATCAGTTTAACCTGTTTTTAACAGGTCGAACTATCAGTTTAGAGCTCGGCTTCATTAAATTTTTCCATTGAAGCATTGGCTACATTTGCTCCATTGGTAATTTTCTCAATGAAGTATATCAATTATCAACCCTGCCTTACCCTAACATTAAACAATTACTGAATAATACTGATGCGTTGTTTTTGATTTTTATAAATGGGTGTCGACAAGCGAAAACAGGGAATTTCGATTTTTGCCGGCTCCGCTTTCTGATCCGATTCCTGATAAATT